TGTAGATTTTATACTAAGGTGTTATGGTTTATTATGCACTTGAAAGGGGTAACGATTCAAAAAGGAGCATTAGGCGAACATAAAATGACGAAGTTTTAAATTTTAAATACCGAAAATATTCTCAAATGTGTGAATGAGAACATATATCTGTATTAAGTAGTTGAAAAAGTGCTAGTGTATATGGGCAAGAATATTTCTCAGAACCTATTGAAATATTTGCAAGTGAAAGCCGAAACAATAAATTTTTAGAAGCAAGTAATTTTTTCTTAAAAGTTTTCAGTTAATAAACTTGGTGATGTCATGGAAGAAGGGTAATGTAAACCAGTAAAGAAAGTCTTAAAGTTGGGCGGGGCCGACTTTATGTTACCCTACACCACTTTGCTAATTTAGTAGAGCTCCACATAACAATTAAAAGTTTTTATGGGAGAATTCAATCATACCGCTATGATTATATTTATAATTTAAAGTACAAAAGAATAAATATGCCGAAGCATTTGTATCTTTTAAATTCGGACTGTATTGCCCATTTGATATCAATAGGCGGTGGATTAGCCATTTGATATCAATAGGCGGTGGGAGCTATATCCAAATCTGAACCGATCCTGATAAAATTTGGCAAATATATTTCTGAGCTGTATTTCATATATTTCCCTGAATATCGTTGTTACGGAGTACATATTACGGCTGTGGGTAACAAATATAACAAATCGGATGAACAGTATATATGGGAGCTATATCTATATCTGAACTGATCTTCACCGAATTTGACATACTAGCTTCTAGACTCAATTCGGTCGTAAGTGCCAAATTCCATCCCACTTGGACAAATATTAGACGTTTGGTGCACAATAAAAAGTAAATCGGACGAAGTTATATATGGGAGCTATATCCAAATCTGAACCGATCTCGATAAAATTTAACAAATGTATTTCTGAGCTGTATTACTGCGTGCACGTTATGGCTGCGGAACAAAAAAATAATAAATCGGATGAACAATATATATGGGAGCTATAGCTATATCTGAACCGTTTTCGATCAAATTTGGCATACTTATTTTCAGGCCTAATTTGGTTGTATGTGCAAAATTCCATACCATTCGGGCTGATATTACACGTTTGGTGCACAATAAAATGCAAATCGGACGAAGATATATATGGGAACTAAATCTAAATTATGACCGATTATCTCCAATTTCAATAGGGTTCGTCCTTGGGCCAAATGATTTGTGTAAAATTCCATCTGGATCGGCTAATAAATGCGAACTGTACTTTGTTTATAAAAATACGTAGACAGACGGACGGACATGCATAAATCGACTCAGAATGTGATTCTATGCAGATCATCAAAAAGAACTATGGGTCTATCTCGTTTCCTTTTGCCTGTTACAAACAAATGCACAAAGACATAATACCCTGACCACCTTGTGGTGTAGGGTATAAAAACTACCCTCTCGATGGTAAATAAATTCAAGTCCTCGAAATGTACGAAAATCATGTCCCTTCACTCATTGATATAATAAACCCACCAAATTGGAATGCAGAGTCAATCTTCCCCTGGTAGAAGGCTATACCGAGTTAGTGAGAATTGTCAAAATCAATCCAGTGGTTATTTTCTTATAAGCGCAGTAACTATCATCAATATATTTTACTACTTTGTTGTATATCCGATATATTTGCTAAATATATCCCATATCTTGACTTTTAATGTATTTGCGATTTCTCCGGGATAAAAAAAGCGCTTCAATGGGAATCTCTCTCCTTAAAAGTTATGGTATATAAATAAATAAATAAATAAAAAGGTAGGCTTCTGCCAACCCCTTAACTCTAGGTCAATGCTAAGTGGATGATATTCTGCGATCATCTCCAAAAGCAATAGGCTTCTATTCTGACCGCCTAAAATTTCGTTAGGATCGGGCCATAATTGCAATCTGTAGCGTAATTACAAATTAATTTGAACAGACGGACACACATAGCCAGATCGATTCGGCTCGGCGAATCCTATGTGCAGTAACAATATTTTAAAGTATGACATACATTTTGGCCCAATCAAACTTATAATGCCCGCAACATATAGTGCTGTAGGGTATAAATATCTATCTTCAAAAAACTGTATGACATACCTTAAATGCATTTCAATTTAAACACACACAAACACACATCTTATCCAGTGTCTTGTCCTACTGGCTAAGAAAACTTCATCCGTTTTGTGTGGACCACTATCTTGATGAATGTAAATTTACGGTAGTTATTTCGTTTATTCCCAAGACTCCGAAGGGAAAACTTTTTGCAAAGAGTTTCTTTATTTTTTGTTTGGTTCTTGTTGCTGTTGTAGTTGTTGGATTTTCTTGAATATGTTCATTTCACTCATTTAATGGCATCTGAAATGGCTCGGGCACTTGTAGACCAATTGGAAATGTCATTTGTGAAATAAAAGAAGAAATGAAATGGATGGCACAAACAGTGGCGCTGACAAAGGCGACACAGATAAAGGCTGCTTCTACAACAACAAAGCCAAAGAACACAAAAGACCAACAGCAGACAGAAATGTTGCAATGCTTGCAGCCGCATTTCGCTGGCAATTCGCTTTTAAGAAACGTAAACAAAATAATCACTAGGATTATCACCACGGTGCACGACTCGAATGCTAAATGCCCGGAAAATAGCTTCGTCGCCCCTTGGCAGTTGTTAAATATTTAAATATTTTAGTAAGTGAAATTGTCGTCTGGTGTACTTGAGTCCGTGCCAATTTCATTTCAAAAGCTACCGTCACTGGCTTGTTTCTGTGTTTTTCTTTTTATTTTGTTTTGTTTTGTTTTTTGTTCTTCATTGTGTTTCATGTCAAAGAAAGAAACATTAAACACGCAAAAGATGTGGATGTTGTTGTTCTTAAGGAATTGATATAAAACACAAACAATGAATTACCTTTGTGTGAGTGTGTATAAGTAAGAATATATTTGCTTCGTGAATTATCCAATTAAAAGGAAGGAGCTCTTAAACTTTTTTTATTTATAAAGTTTGACTGAATTTTGAATGATTAAGGAAGTGTTACACTAGAACTTCTATTGTACAGTATACATGTATGAATATTGTCCAGAATTAAGCATGTTTCGAAATTCCGAAAGGGGTAGCATAAAATTTAAACATTTTTTGCTCATATAGTAGTTGTCTTAAAGTTTAGTCGGTGTTCCGACAATTGTTTTTGGGCACCGTTTTCGGGGGATCTAAATATCCCAACTTTACATTATATCTAATGTTAATAATATATTGAAGACAATCGTAAAATAATTTACATTTTATTATACCCTACAACACTATGTGTTGGAGGTATTATAAGTTTGATTGGGCCAGAATTTATGTAACACCTCGAAATATTGGTTTCCCATATAGGAAAGTATATATGGATCTTCCTAGCTCGCCGAGCTGAGTCGATCTAGCTATGTATGTCCGTCCGTCCGTCTGTCCGTCTGTCCATGTTAATTTGTAATCACCCTACAGGTCGCAATTATGGCCCGATCCTAACGAAATTTTGCACGAAGGTGAGGTTAGGGTCAGAATAGAAGCCTATTTCTTTTGGAGATGATCGCCAAATATTTAGGTGTTGAAATGGACCAAATACTGAAAAAATGTCGGATTTTGCAGTAGATATAAAGGTCGCAATTATAGACCAATCGACGCGGAATTTCGCATGTAGCTAGAGTTTAGGGCGGGGAAGAAGCCTACCAAATTGGGTGGTCATCGGATAATATTTAGCGGGTAAAATAGACCATATCTTTTGTGTTGAAAAAATTCAAATTTTTTCATTAAACCGCGAATATTTTAAATTCCGGCGAAATCACAAAGCCATGACAAGGTTACTTCTGATCTTTACATTGATGTTAACATCCAACAAATCGGATATATAGCAAAATATGTACGATATATATGTCTATCAAAGAAGATATGCTTGAAAGATCTCTTATATGTCGAGAACGGCTGAACTGATTTCGACAGTTCTCATTAATTCAGAATGGCCTCTTGGCAGGAAAGAAAAAACGTATAAAAAAATCGCATAAAAATATCTCTCTAAAGATTAAAATATTGGTTTTGTAAAATGTTCTCATATTTTTTCAATTTTGTCTTATTTTTGGCATATTTTCATTTTGAATTAAACATTTGGTAATATTTCTACAGCTAACAAAACTAAGTAGTTAGGATATCAGGATATCACATACAGGTCGCATTTATGGCCCGATCCTTACAAAATTTTGCATGGGGATAAGATGAGGTTCAGAATTGAAGCCTACTCTTTTTGGAGATGATCGCCATATATTTAGGGGTTGAAATGGACCAACAAAACTGCAAAATTGTCAGCAGGTCGTAATTATCGCCCGATCCTCACGCACATTTGAATGGGGGTTACCGGACATTGCAAAAGCCAAACAGTTTTGGATGGCCATCCAAACATATTCAATGTGTGAAATAGTTTGCCAACTTTTGCAGACAAAGTACGAAAATGTCCATTCCGGTGACTTTTTTGGAAATCTCAAATACGGGAAAGACTCACTTCTGACTATTTTGTTAACGCTGATTTCATTGAAGATTATAGTCAAATGTCTGTATCTCATATAGATGCGTTTCAGTCAAAAACCAATAATAAATGTTAATCTTTTGCCACTTCTGAGAGATTATAGGTCTTTGGCAAATATTGGTTCCAGATCTAGGAAGACCATTTACATGCAACATCTACCAATAAATTGGAAATGAGCAAATTAGTTTAAGTTGCTATTATTCGAAAATTAGAGAACGAAACCTGATGGTTTTCTTTTATTATTTGTCACAATATCTTGTGGAATTCTTTCGAGTATATCGCCTATATAAACTGTATCGTTTATTATAATGTTGTAGGGTATTCAACGGTCGGCCCCGCTTCCTTATCGAAATGAGAAATGTGGAAAAATCTTCGCTTAACAAAAATTAAATTTAGAAACTTGACGAAAAAATTATTTGTATATATTACTTCACTTAGTGCTAAGAACAATAATGTAATACAAACTTAAATAAATATATACCACTTCTATTGTTGTTGCCAGATTTAATAAATGTATCCCTGAAGAAGTTGAAAAATCTCAAAGAAACGTCGGATAGAAAAATGAAATAAATAGCTGTTATTTTCATTAAATAAACCCCAGACCTAAAAGCCCAATAATACAAAGTCATAAATCAATCATAAACCAGTAAGGAAAAGTCAAAAGTCGGGCGGGCCGACTATACGATACCCTACACCACTATGCATATTTTGTAGAGCACCCGTAACAAAGAATTTATTTCAAGTAGACCATACCACCTTTCAACATTTAGCTTTAGGGTAGTTATAGTTTGCTATAAAATGCATGATAATTTTAAACCAGTAAGCAAAGGCTATAGTCGTGCGGGGCCGACCATGTGATACCCTACAACACTACAATATGTTAGAAGTCCCTTTATGTCCAAATCCATTTTGGAAGATTTCGCTTTTGAAATTATGTCACGGAGCACTGACCAGATATTACCCTTAGCATTTTGAACAGGGACATTTGCCCAATATTTGCACACTCCGTCGTGCTGTTAGTTGTTATGGTCCATTTTATAGCTAAATATAATCCAGTGGTCATCCAAAATGCTACAATTCTTCCCTGTACTTAACTCTCTCTCTTGTTGGCTTTAATTGGCTCTCGCGTGTCGGTTGGCTTTAATTGTGTGATAAGAAAATCCATTTAACCAGCCAAATATATTGCAGACATCTTTGAAAACAAAAGGTCTAGCCCTTCTGAGCCAAACCCTACCCTTGTGAAAATTTTCGTGAGGATCAGACGATAATTGCCATCGGTATATAATATCACCAAACTGTGTTGTAAGGTGAAAAAATATTACAAAACAAACACTTCAATATTATAAGTCAAATTGAAAAAATCGCATGCGATGAAAAATGTGAACTGAAAAAATAAACAAGTAAGCAAAGGCTACAGTCGAGCGGGGCCGTCCGTTGAATACCCTACAACACTATAATAAGTGATACAGTTTATATAGACCAGATACTCGAAAGAATTCCCCCAGATCTTGTGACAAATAATAAAAGAAAACCATCAGGTTTCGTTCTCTAATTTTCGAATAATAGAAACTTGAACTAATTTGCTCATTTCCAATTTAGATGGTAGATGTTGCACGTAAATGGTCTTCCTAGATCTGGAACCAATATTTCCCAAAGACCTATAATCTCTCAGAAGTGGCAAAAGATTAACATTTATTATTGGTTTTTGACTAAAACGCATCTATATGAGATACAGACATTTGACTATATTCTTCAACGAAATCAGCCTTAACGAAATAGTCAGAAGTGCGTCTTTCCTGTATTTGTGAATTCTCCAAAAAGACACTGGAATGGATATTTTCGTATTTAGTCTACAAAAGTTGGTAAATTATTTCACACATTAAATGTTTTTGGATGGCCATCCATAACTATTTGGCTTTTGCAATGTCCGGTAACCTCCATTCAAATGCGCGTGAGGATCGGGCGATAATTACGACTTGCTGACAATTTTGCAGTTTTTTTTTGTCCATTTCAACCCCTAAATATATGGCGATTATCTCCAAAAAGAGTAGGCTTCTATTCTGACCCTCATGCAAAATTTCATAAAAATCGGGCCATAAATGCGATCTGTATATCCTATCCTATCATATTTATATCATAACTACTTAGTTTTGTTAGCTGTAGAAATATTACCAAATGTTTAATTCAAAATGAAAATATGCCAAAAATATGACAAAATTGAAAAAAATATGAGCAAATAGTACAAAATCAATATTTTCATCTTTAGAGAGATATTTTTATGCAATTTTTTAGACGTTTTTTCTTTCCTGCCAAGAGGCCATTTTGAATTAATGAGAACTGTCGAAATCAGTTCAGCCGTTCTCGACATATAAGAGATCTTTCAAGCATATCTTCTTTGATAGACATATATATCGCACATATTTTGCTATATATCCGATTTGTTGGATGTTAACATCAATGTAAAGGTCAGAAATAACCTTGTCATGGCTTTGTGATTTCGACGGGATTTAAAATATTCACGGTTTAATGAAAAATTTTGATTTTTTTCAACACAAAAGATATGGTCTATTTTACCCGCTAAATATTATCCGATGACCACCCAAATTGGTAGGCTTCTTCCCCGCCTAAACTCTAGCTACATGCGAAATTCCGCGTCGATTGGTCTATAATTGCGACCTGTATAGCTACTGCAAAATCCGACATTTTTTCAGTATTTGGTCCATTTCAACCCCTAAACATTTGGCGATCATCTCCAAAAGAAATAGGCTTCTATTCTGACCCTAACCCCACCTTCGTGCAAAATTTCGTTAGGATCGGACCATAATTGCGACCTGTAGAGTGATTACAAATTAACATGGACAGACGGACGGACGGACATACATAGCTAGATCGACTCAGCTCGGCGAGCTAGGAAGATCCATATATACTTTCCTATGTGGGAAATCAATTTTGTTTGTGGTGTTACATAATTTTTGGCCCAATCAAACTTATAATACCCCCATAGTGTTGTAGGGTATAAAAATCTCACCAATCCCTAGCTATTTTTCCCCATAATTTTAAAAATAAAATTAAAATGTAATTTTTAAAATTGTATTCCATATAAATCCACTTACCGGCTGATCATTGATGAACCATTGCAATTGTGATGCTGGATGTGATTTTCCCGATGAGCAATTTAAAATTAATAATTCACCAATTTGATATTGGAATTGCTGGCCCTTTATGTGCGGTCCATCACGTGGCAAGTCTGTGGAGGAAAAAGGGGGAAATGAAAACGTAACGTTAATTGAAAGGTTTTTCAATTTCATCTGCTTAATTTAACATTTACAAATTGACTTAATTTCCCTATTATAAAACAGTTTTTCATTTTGATTTTCAGTTTATTCACAACGAATAGATTTCCTATTGATGATATAACTAATGTTATACAATTCTCGGTGTTCTGATGGTTTGCTGTCGCTGTTGGCTGAATTGAGCGTTGACTTCGTTGCGATGAAAAAACGTGACTTGAATTCAATGGAATGTTTGTTTAGCTTTCTCAAAAAAAGGGAAATCGAGCAAAAAAAGAAGATTGTCCCATAATTTATCTACTCTGACTGATGTAAAAGTAGAACGTTCTAAAGGTGGAATTGTCTCCATGGCAAGACGCTGAGAATGTATGCAGGGAGGAAACATATTATATTTGCTTTCATTTTCATGGTAGGAAAACTTTTGCCCTTGAACTTTTTTTAAAACGTATTAAGTTATTTTTAAAAAGGATTTTACGCAAAAACCATATGCGATACGTGCAGTGCATTTTAGCAGGTTAGGTTATTTAAAGTTACTTTACAAAAGAAGGTAGTATTTGTTTTTTCTCTCATCAAACTGGGGGAAAATGGAGAAAATTGAGAGTGTAGAAGAAAAAAAAATGATATATCGACAAACGAGATGTATTATGAGTAATAGGTGACACAATTATTGTGTATTTAACCCCATAATTTTTTGGCATGAAATTTAATGTGGCGGATACTAAATTTGCACAGAAGACATGCTGCATGCTGAAGATAATAGAATTTGGGTTCTGTAGGGAAAATGGGAATTATACTAAGCGAAGATCATAGAATTTACAAAACAAAATCAATCCAGGTCGCAACTACAATTCAGTTGTCATGAATTTTTACACGAAAGTCGAACAAGAATAGATACAACATTTACAATCTCGTTTTTTTTTTTCTTTTTTAATTGAATCATCATTAGAATTTAAAGTTTTATATGTAATATGTGAGTTTGATATCGGTCTATGGTAAAGTTCGTCTTTTTCTAGTAAAACCCTTCATAATGCTACGACCCTAAATTCATTAACAAGTCGAGGCAGATCTATTTTTGTTCACTGCTGTCTGCCAATTTAGTTCTTATCTATGTTCAAATTTACCTTATCATTTCCAAATATAAACAAAATGTCATCGAATTTTTTTATAACAAATACTTACACACAACATCCATTTGTCCTTCACCCTGTACAGAGGCAAAGCTTGGCGCCTCCGCTGATATTTCGCAACGATACAGTCCTGTTGAATTGATTGTAAGCCCCCTTAAGAGAACCCTTGAGCTGTCTGAATGTTCTTCCTGGAATGAAAAAATAAATAAAATATTCAATTGATTTACATTGGGTTATATAAAAAATTATCCCTAATAAAAACAAATGAAAGAGGTTATTTCCGAATTATTGAGGGAAATTGATAAAAACAGATAAAATGTTAATTATGTCGAAAATAATGACTGAAATATATATTTCGGTAGGTTTCGAAAGCTTAAGGTGTAAAAGATAAATAAGTTGTTATAGTTAAGAAGCCACTTTGGAAATCACATTTTCAAAATAAATACTTTTTCAGGCATCTTAACTTTGGACTTTAGATTTACATTCCCTCGCTAAGCAGATATTTGACACCATTTGATCCTCCACCATACATAGTATGAAGGGTATATTAAGTTCCGTCCGTCTGTTGTAATCACGCTACAGTCAAAACGAATTAAGATAAGAAGCTAAAATTTTGCACAGATCTGTCTTTTGTCTGCAGGCAGGTCAAGTTCCAAGATAGGTTATATCGATCCACGGCTATAACGGTACCCCCCGATATTCGATATTTGTATGATTTTAGACACATTTTTTAATGGAATTGTCTGAAAATCCGCACAAGGAGTTCTTTCTTTGTACTTTATCCGCTGGAAGAGAATTATCTGTATAGGTCCACGATATCGCATAGCCCTCATATAACTGTACCCCCTGATATTCGGTATATTGATGATTTTAGACACATTTTTCAACGGAATTGTCTTAAAATTCACATAAGGTGTTCTTTGTGAGTACTTTACCCCATAAAATAGAATTATCTATATAGTTACACAATATCGTATATCCCCATATATCGGCACCTTCCGATATTCGGTGTTTTTTGAGATTTTAACAAAATTTTAAAAGGATTTTATTTATTTTTTTTTTTGAAAATTTCCCAATTCGTTCAAGGCAAAGGTGTTTCTAGGATATACCTGATATATTTTATATACAACCATTATTATCGAGGGGATATTGCTGCTTTGTAGCTTAGATATAACAACAGATGAAACATATATATGGGAGCTGTAATTACATTTTAATCTATTTTCGCCAACTTTGATATACTTGCTTCAACAAGGTTCTATTCTTCTTGTGGATTATTATATCCCACAATACTACGTTGGTAAGTTTGATTGGGCCAAAAATGATGTAACACCTCGAAATATTGGTTTCCCACATAGGAAAGTATATACGGATCTTCCTATATCGCCGAGCTGAGTCGATCTAGCTATCCGTTCGTCCATGTTAAATTCTAATCATGCTTTTGGCCCGATTCTCACGAAATTTTGCATGGAGACGGGGTTATCTTCAGAATATAAGACTACTGCTTTTAGTGAACGCATAATATTAAAAAGTTGATTTGGACCAAAAACTGAAAAATTTCCTGGTTTTGAATTTGCTCTACAGTTCGCAATTATAGACCAATCGTTCAGAAGCCTTCTAATTTGGATGGTCATCGGGTTATATATAGCGGGTGAAATAGAAAATAACGTTTGCGTTAAATAAAAGTAAAATTTACATAAAACCGTCAAGATTTTTAATCTCGACGAAATCCCAAATAGACGAAAAGGTCAATTCTGACCGTTACGTAGATGCCGATAGTAAATATATCGGATACATATATAGCGAGTGAGATGAAAAAACTGCAGCCAATTTGAGACTGTTGTAATTTCTAAGCCACTCGTCCGATAACTCTTAAAATTATTCGAGTGACAGCTCATTATATTGTTTACAAGCGTACAAAAGCATTTTGGTGAGAATTTTCCAGAAAAAAGTTATTCGTAATGAAATTTAAGCGTGATAGTGTGATTTCTTTATAGGTGCCTGGAAAACCACAAGTGGCGAAATATATACAATGTGTACAGAGTGAGATGAAAAAACTGCAGCCAATTTCAGACTCCTGTCATTTCTAAGCCCCTCGTCCGATAGCTGTTACAATTATCCGAGTGACAGCTCATTATATTGTTTACAAGCGTACAAAAGCATTTTGGTGAGAATTTTCCAGAAAAAAAGTTATTCGTGATGGAATTCAAGCGTGATAGTGCGATTTCTTTATAGGTGGCTGGAAAACCACAAGTGGCTATCGTTAGAGCACTCCAGCATTTAAATGTGAATAAATTTTTTGTGTCTCGTACCATCGCTCGTTACCGTGATAGTGTTCAAGGAAGTGGACGGAAGAAAACAGCTACATCACCAGAAAAGGTTCGAAAAGTAAAGAAGCGACTTGATCGAAACTCGCGTCACAATGGCCGAAAAATGGCTTGTGAGCTAAACATATCGCAATATTCCATTCGGCAAATATTGAAAAATGAGCTCGGAATAAAGCCACAGAAATTCCAAAATGCAAGAAATTACACCGCAACAGAAAGAAAATAGCAAATTGGTCACCTTTGCCACGAATTATGGCCTTCAGAAGGCCAATGAAACTGTCACACGCTGCCCGATTGCTCTGCGGTATTTTGGCTCATTCCCGGTGAAGCGCTTGTTTAAAGTGATCGACACTTTGGTATTTTTAGTGCCAATGTTGATTTCCAAAATACTTCAGACACAATAGTCCAACGGATTGGTATCCGGAGATTTTGGTGGCCATTGTGCGCTTTAAATGAAGCGAGGAACCTTATTTTGTAATAATGTGTGGAAATGTAATATGTTAGTCTAATCTTTCTAGTACATCTATCAATAAAGTTAAGCATGTAGCTGTCGATATCATTCAAACTTTGGACGTCATGCTTCGGCATCTTCCCCATACTGTGTCAATATTTGTATACCTATAACGCAAGTAGAAAAATAAATTTTCAAATAAAGGCACATATGCTGAATGGATGCGTCCACAGTTGTATCCCTGTTAATATTAATACCTAATTTATAGATATATCCACTTTATTCAAAAGTTCATAAATGAATGCATCGCTAGTTTGACCATTCCGTGGTCCACAATTTTGATGATTTATTGCGGAGAATTTGTATCGTATTTTTGTAAATAAATAATCACGCATCAAAAACACGAAAGACATTAATTTCGATTTTTTATTGTAGAATGACAACAATAATGAAATAGTTTTCCAGCAGAAGTGCACATTACTTTGTGTATGACAAGGGCGGAGGAAATATCTTATGGATTTTATGTAATGTTCTTTTGTATCTGCACTTACCAGTTCCCCTCAAAAAATATATATCATATAACTCCATGCTGTTGCCTAGTGGTTCTGACATGAACTTTCCCCTCTACCCCGAAGAGCACAATATCTCTCTCACTCTCTGTGGACACATACCGGAAGGTAAGATAAATAAAACTTTTGTAACAAAGGAACTTTGGAGGATGCATTGAGAGCAGGTGGTTTTGTTTGCATGTGCTGGAGTTAGCAAATCTCACAACTGCATGTAGGTGTGTGTGTGTGTGTGTGTGCGTATAAGTATCTGTTGGTAAGGGGATGTTCGTGCTTTATCTTGGAAATGTAATTTCCTTTCTTTCTAAAATACGAGTGTGCAACAACCATAAAAGCAATAATAATTCATACTTACAATAACTCGTACGCCATCAACTCTGTAACTCGTTTTTGGTGGATTCGCTTTTGGCACAAAACGATAGAATTCTTCATTATCCTTGTACCATTTAATGGCATACAAATCCTCGCCCTCCTCTTCGTCGTGCTCCTCCTCGTCGTCGGCATCGCTGTCTGCCTCGTTATCGAACTCATCCTCTTCGTTGGAGTTCTCGTCGTCAATGTGTTCTTTGCGTTCATTACTATCGGCAAAGTTATCATCGTGATGTCCATAACTACTGCTGCCGAAAACACCTGACCCTGTTCCGGGGTAGGATGACGATGATCTACCTGTGTAAGTGCTGGCTCCAACACGACCGCCATAATTGCTGGCGTGGCTGCCCGAGGAGGTTATAGAGGGGGAAGACTGTGACAAGGAGGAGGATGATGACGACGACAATGAATACGAGGTGGAGGACATTTGAGATCTCCCTCGATATACACTGTGACCATATGGCGAGGGCGGTAGTGTTGGATATTCTGGATTGTATTGGCGTTTTTGTTTCTGTGGCAAGAATGGATACTGGAGATGTTGCTGATGGTGAGAAGGTGCGCCATTACTACTTCTACTTCTAATGTTGTTCATATCCTGCCAAAGAGCTTTATGTGTCTGGATTTGTGCTTGAAAATAAGGTTGCCTGTGTTGATACTGATACTGTTGTTGTTGTTGCTGCTGCTGTTGTTGTCGCTGTTGCTTATACGTTTGTTGTGGATATGTGTGAGGTCGTCGGTATTGTGGCAAATCATCGTTATCATCATAATGTATACTGCTGCCTCCCCCTGTATGACCGCCATATTGCCGATATTGATGACGCTGTTGCTGGTATTGGCCGTGACTGTGATGATTCCGATTTCTGTGTAATCCACCATAGAGACTTTTCGATCTATTCAATTCATATTGGCATTCCATAAATGTTGATTCACCACGCATTTTATAACTGGGTATGGAAACTTTAATGAGTCGTAATCCAGCCAAGCCTAAAAGTTATCAAGAAAGCAAAGAGTGAAATGAAAATATGAAACAAGTTTATGGACTTATGAAAATATTTTATGGGAAAATACAAGGAGAACAAACAAAGATAGGCTATGTGTACAAAAAGTGAGTGGTAGGCGAAGTAAGTAATTCGAGGTAAGAGAATATTTTGTATTTTATAAACATACTAGCTGAACCCGGTGCGCTTCGCTACCCCTTTTGATTTTATATGCATTCAAAATTTTATTTACGAATATATGTTGGATAAAGAAAAACAAATTTAAAAATTAAAAAAAATATTGCACTAATTTAATGCGTAAATAACCAAAACCATTAGAAAAGCAGTAACATGACATACATACACGAAGGGTTTGTCCTTTGGATTTATTTATTTCATAGCAAATACCAAGCGTGCAGGAAACTGCAATTTTTTTAAGTAGAGTGGCATTTCTATTGCATGTAGTGAATTCGAGATAGCAACATACTTCGCCGTAATAAGCGTATTTCAAATAAATTGTTGTGTTGTTTTTAGTGTTAGCCTAAGGCGTTGTGGGTCAATGGTTCTTATTAAAATCATAATCATATCCCATATAATTTGGCAATTTTTTCAGGTGCCAGATTTTGTCTCTCTCGCTTTGGGTGCATCAAATATGTGAAATCGGCTGAGTATATATATGGGAGCTATAATCAAATTCAGCCACTCATGCCGAATTTCATTGGAATCGGAAATACGTATCGTGTTTTGTGCATCAAACATGTGAAATCGGCGGAAAATATATATGGGAGCTATATCCAAATCTGAACCGATTTTAATATAATTTGATTAATTTATTATCTAATCAAAATCCCGTTACATATTCCAAATTTCTTTGGAATCGAACATACATATCGTGTATGGTGCATTAAATACATGAAATCGGTCGAAAATATATATAGGAGCTATATCCAAATCTGAACCGATTTCAATATAATTTGACAAATTTATTTTCGGATTAAATCCCGTCACACATTCCAAATTTCAGTGGAATCGTACATTCATATTGTCATTGAAATTAGAGATACATAGCGTGTTTGGTGCATCAAATACATGAAATCGGTCGAAAATATATATGGGAGCTATATCCATATCTGAACCGATTTCAATTTAATTTGACAAATTCATTTTGGCTCCGTTACTTATTTTAAATTTCATTACAATTGGAAATACATATCGTGGAATTTCCACCAAATACATGAAATCGGCCGAAAATGTATATGGGAGCTATATCAAAATCTGAACCGATTTCAATATAATTTGGGAAATCAATTTTTTAAATAAAATCTATCACACGTTTCAAATTTCCTTGAAATTGGTGATACATAGCGTGTTTGGTGCATCAAATGCTTGAAATCGGCCGAAAATATATATGGGAGCTATATCCAAATCTGAACCGATTTCAATATAATTTGACAAATTTATTTTCGGATTAAATCCCGTCACACATTCCAAATTTCATTGGAATCTAACGTTCATATTGTGTTTGAGGCATCAAATAAAGGAAATCGGTCGAAAATATATATGGGAGCTATATCCAAATCTGAACCGATTACAATATAATTTGGCAAACTTATTTTTGTTCCAAATTCCGTTACGTATTCCAAATTTGAAGACTGTATCTTCAACCAATCAATAGATATGTGCATATAAATCTAAATTTTTGGGAGGTACCTCCGATTCTGATGCTATATCTCCAGTTTCAAGTGGAAATTCAAAAATGTATATAGCCTATGTTACTTTCAGGCGATGTTGCAGTATATACGGACATTTTCAGGAAAATCTATTCAGCGGTTTTCGAGTCCATAAATTACAAACAAACAAACAAACAAACAAACAAACATACAAACATTTTCCTCTTTTATAGATATAGAAGAAGAAGAAGAAGAAGAAGATAAGTTCGTTCGGAATTAGCATAGAAATAAGTTATGGCATTTTTGGAGAATACTATAGGGTATGAATTTACCAAAAGTTATTCAATAAGAAGACTTGCTGGCCTTTCCTATTCCAACATAAATAGATTTTTTTGGGGTCTTCTATTATAAGACCCTCATGTCTCCTATCACAAGACATGTGGTCTCCTTTGCAAATACTAATAATCGAAGACCTACTATTCTTCTTTAAGAAAACCTTCCAGTCTTCTATGAGAAGACTTTCTCGTCTTCTTGAGAAGACCTTTTTGTCTTCCAGTAGAAGACCTTCTCGTCTTCAACGAGAAGACCACTTATCAAATATGAGAAGACTTTCTCGTCTCCAACGAGAAGATCTCCTCGTCATCCACGGGGAGACTTTCTCGCTTACTATGAGAAGACTATCTTCTAGTCACTGAGAGACCTTCTGCCTTCAATGAAAGGACTCTCTGGCCTTCTATGAGAAAGCCTTCTGGCCCTCTATGAGAAAGCCTTTTGAGAAGACTTTCTGGCTTCCTATGATAAGAAATGTTGGTCTTCTATAAGAAGAACTTCTGGCCTTCTATATAAAAAACCGTATCGCCTTTTATAAGAAGACATTTTGGTGATCTTTGAAACCCCCTTTTGCTTTTCTATTCAATCTTATTTTAGTCTTTTATGAGAAGGTCTTTTGTTCTTCTATTGAAAGGCCTTTTTTTGACTTTCAATTAGAAGACCTTCAGGCCTTAAGTGAGAAGATTTTCTGGTCTTCGAGGAGAAGAGCTTCTGGCCTTTAATGGGAGGACCTGTCCTCAAAATAAAGACTCTGTCATCAGCCCTTTAGATCAATTCTATGTCTATGTAAACACAGATTCTGTCAAGAACGACTACTTTGGATTTCTTCATGCATATCTTTTGAATTTCTGCATAAAAAACTTCACATCTATATTATGGTTGTAAAATCAATTGTACAGTTGATTAATATTCGTTGCTCAAAGTTCATTAGAAACTTTGTAGAAATTCATATCGAAAATTTCACAAAACTTACTTTCTTTTAAACTAAAAATATAGTCTGCTATTAGCAGAGAGGAAATTGTAATAAACTAAACTAAGAATCCAAAAATAATTTCCTCAAGGTTAGACGCATACCAACATGTTCACTGAACTAAGAGCCTTTAAGAAATTTGACATGAAAAGGAAACATTAAAAACAGAAGAGGAAGGTTTTCCAATTTCTTGCTCCACCTTCCATTTTGGGAAAACGAAAATGCTTCGAAACTAGGCAGTTTATTCTGTTTTCATGCTATGCGGACATAAATTCTGGAAATAGGTCACGATGACTATTTAGCTGAGTTCATATTCGAATATGGCTTCATACTGAAGTGAATTTTATTGAATAGTTTTAAAAGGAAACAATTTTTTAATATTTGTTATTTAAGATATTAATTATACCCTACAACACTATATGTTGGGGGTATTATAAGTTTGATTGGGCCAAAAATTATGTAACACCACGAAATATTGATTTCCCACATAGGAAAGTATATATGGATCTTCCTAGCTCGCCGAGCTCAGTCGATCTAGCTATGTATGTCCGTCCGTCCGTCTGTCTGTCTGCCCATGTTAATTTGTAATCACTCTACAGGTCGCAATTATGGTCCGATCCTCATGAAATTGAAAATGGAGGTGGGGTTAATGTCAGAATAGTACCCTATTTCTTTTGGTGATGATCCCATAATATTTAGGGGTTGAAATGGACCAAAAACTGAAAAATTTCCTGATTTTGCAGTTGCTCTACAGGTCACAATTATAGACCAATCGAAGCGAGAGTTAGCATGGGGCTAGAGCTTTGGGCTGGGCAGAAGCCTTTTGATGGTCATCGGATAACATTTAGTGGTTGAAATAGACCATAGCATTTGTGATAAATAAAAGTAAAATTTTCCATTAAACCGCGAATATTCTTAATCCCAGCGAAATCACAAATAGACGAACAGGTCAATTCTGACCATTACGTAGATACCGATAGTAAAAATATCGGATAAATATAGCGAAATATATACAATGTATATATACAAAGGAAGGGGATGTTAGCTAGAATGCTTATATCTCCAGAATGGCTGGAGCGATTTTGACAAATTTTGTCAATTCAGAATGCCCTCTTGGCATAAAAGTATAAAATCTAAAAAAATCGCATAAAAAGATACCAATAATGATGTTAATATAGATTTTGTAGTATTTTGTGACATTTTTTCCATTTTTTCATATTTTTTATCGCATGCGATTTTTTCAATTTGACTTATAATATTTTGTTATATTTTTTTCACCTTAAACAGAGGTTGGGGATATTAAATGCATATTGCAATTATCGTCCGATCCTCACGAAAATTTTCACAAGAGTAGGGTTGGGCTCAGATGGGCTAGGCCTACTGTTTTCAAAGTTGTCCGCAATATATTAGAGGTTGAAATGGACCAACAACTAAAATTTTTCCTGATTGCAGCCGTTATCAAGGTCACACATAGAAACCAAAGGACACGAAATCTCGCATAAAGTTAGAGTTTCGGACAGCGGGTACAATATACCACTAATTTTGTGTGAAAAAATGCCAGCATTACTTGCAGGCGATATCTGAAATACACAAAAGGCGAACTTCTGGCTTTTAATGCTGATTTCATTGACGCTGATAGATGAGTCTAAATTTGGATATACAGAGGGACTACTTGCTTTTGGAGATGATCCCAAAATATTTAAGAGTTCAAATTAACTAAAAACAGAAATGCTTTTCCGATCACACAATTTAAGCCAATCGACACGCCAGTGAAGAGAGTTAAGGACAGGGAAGAATTCTAGCATTTTGGATGACTATTGTATTATATTTAGCTGTAAAATGGACTACAACAACTAACAGCCCGACGGAGCGTATAAATGTTGGGCAAATGTCCCTAGTCAAAATCTTAATTTCAAAAGAGAAATCTTCCAATATGGATTTGGACATAAGGGGGCTTCTAACATATGTAGGGTTGTAGGGTATAACATAGTCGGCCCCGCACGACTTTAACCTTTGCTTACTTGTTTTTTTATTAAC